AAGTAAAGTTAAATAATTAGAAATAAAAGCCTAGGGCACTTCACATTGTGAAGTCCAGGCTTGGGCTCCTCCTTTCCCTCTGAGTCTCCTCACCAGGATGTGACACCGCTGACCACACTCTCCCACCTGAGACCTGTCCTTTCCTCTCCAGGCAAGGTTTCTCTCACCTTCCTTCCTTCCTTTCTTTCTTTTTTGGAGAGGTTTTCGCTATAGGGCGCGTGTGCTCGCCAGACAGACAGAGACACAGAGACAGAAAGCGAGCGATGCTCCCCCCCGGGGGGGGGGATGGTCACGCCACAATCCCTTCTCCTCCATTCTCCTCTTGGGATCTTGGGCACGCACGCACACGCGCCCGGCGTTGAGTTTTAAGCCACTGGGTCCAGGATGCGAACCGCGGTCAACTACGTGGGAGTCCAGCGACATAGCGTAATGCGCTAACTGCTGGTTCCCTCACCTTTCTTTCTTTAAAGAATTTTACATTTAATTTATTATTATTGTTGTTTTTAGATTTGCTATAGGGCACATGTGCTCCACAGAAAGGGAGAGAGAGGGAAAGGGGAAAGCAAGGCACCGGGTCTGGGACTCAAACCGCAGTTGACCATGTGGAAGTCCAGCGCCTTCACCCCCACGCCACCTGCTGGCCCTTCCCACCTCTTTGACCACTCCTCAGCCTCTTTTGTAACTTCCCACCTTCGGCATTCATCTTTCATCGAGGCACCTGCCCATCCAGAAGATCTGGAGCGCACCGTGCCTGGTAGGGATCCCAGAGGGCCTAACCTGAATGTGACCACCCTCCCTGGGGGGTGCTTTGTCATGCCTGCCCCTCCCCCCTCCTGCTCCAACAAGCATAAAAGACAAAGAAACAAAATCTTTCTAACCAGCCTGTGGGGTGATGGTTAAGGTGACTGCATGGTTCAAGTCCCTGACCTGGTGGCTTGAGACATGCTGGTATGTGTGTGTATCCATGCCCCAAGTCTTGAAAGGACGAAGAAACGGAAAAGGGATTGTATGAGCATTCCCCATGGGGGTTACTCCCGGCTCTCTCATGCCAGTGCTAGCGCCCTCTGGAAAACAGAAAGAATGAAGGATTTTAAAAAGACGAAGAAAATTCTTTTCATTCTGATATGAAAGATCACCTTCTTGAACACCAGTTTTTCACCTGCCAGGAGGCGAGTGCACTAAGCAGAGGAATGGGGGAGGGAGAAGGCTGCCTAGTGGGTGTGGTCATGCTACAGTCCCTAACGTGTGACTTTGTTGGGATTTCGGGCACGCCCATTCGGGCACCTGGCACATTTTTCAAGCCACACGAACCATGGTTCAAACTGTGCAGTTAGCCATGTGGGATCTGGGGCTGACCCGGAACCTTGGTATCCCTTGGACCCTAGCAATATCTAGATGTTGCTCTACTGAGCAGTTTTTCTGTGTCAGTGTCATTTTTTTGGTCAGAGAGCACGAGTTCACTGGAGAGAGGCAGTGAGAGACAGGCATTTCCCACAGGGCATGGTCACACCAGATCCTTTCTGCCCCATTTCTCCCTGCTTTAGGGGCTTGGGGTACACACAGGGGCCGGGAATGTTTTACCAAGCCTCCAGGTCTGGGGCTAAGACCATGCAGTTAGCTACATGGGGCCGTCACCTTGACCACCATGCCAACTGATGGCCTAGGCTTTTTTTTTTTTTTTCTTTTTTTAATATCTATGTACTTAGGCATTTATTCTGATTTTTAAGCCACTGTGTCTGGGACTTGAGCCGCAGTAGGCCATGTGAGAGCCAGTGCCCTAACCACTAAACCACCTGCAGGGCCCAGGATGATTATTTTTTTTTGGAGAGGTTTTTGCTATAGGGCACGTGGGCACCCCACAAAGCCAGAGAGAGACAGAGAGACAGAAAGCAAGAAATCACCCCCCAGGGGGGATGGTGACGCTGCAATCCCTTCTCCATTCTCCTCTAAGGATCTTGGGCACGCACGCACACGCACCTGGCTGAGTTTAAGCCACCGGGTCCGGGACTCGAACTGCAGTCCACTTACATGGGAGACCAGCGACATAGCTATTACGGCAACTGCTGGTTCCGATTTTATTTTTTTTTCCTTGATGAGCTACAAGGGGTCAAGGTTTTGCCCTCATTTATTCAGAAACCAGTGTTCTAGGTCCTCTTAAAAAGAGGAGCTCTCAAATGCTGCGTATTACTGAGGGGGAAGGTGCCAGTGCAGTGTCCTGGAAGGGGTGGCCAACAATCGCTCACAAATACACCTCGCGCCCAGCTCCGTTGTAGCAGAGGCACGGGCTGTCCCTGTGCCCCCGCACGGTCAGCACTGTTCCTGTAGGTCCCGCTGCTACTGTGCCCCTGCGGAGGCCGGGCAGGCCCTCCGAACTCGGGTGCACGCGGGAGTTCAGCCCTGCCTCCCGCGGGCCGCCGGCTTTGCTTTGGCGTCCCCGTCCCCGGGGTGTTCTCCAACCTCGTCAAATCTGGGTGGGAAGCGGCTTCGCTCACGAC